ACACACACACACACACATACACTTACACACACATATACACTGAATGTATATATCAAGAGGCCTTTTTTATAATTCTTTGTAACAACTCTGCTCTATAAGTTTGTTTCTTTATTTCTGTTGCAGTTTTTTTTATCATATGCAACATTTTACAAGTTAAGACAACACTGCAAAAATCATTCATCTAATCAAGTCTGACAATCTTATATACAGCCAAAATATATTTTTGATCTTTGAGACTTAAAATATACTAATGAATTGTAATTGTTTTACTGCACTGACAGATTATTCTCACAGATTATTTCCTTGAATTTCACAAGATTCAGACTATAATCTAGTATTTTTATCTTACTTTTAGATGGCTAATTTTTGCAGTGAGGTACCCGTGTGGAAGATTTATGAATGAGTGTTTCTTATAAACAGTGGCCAAGGCTGTTCAGTTTATTCTCAGAGTTGTGGAGTTCTTGGTAAATAAATTTAGAAATGGTTTTTATTTTATTTTGGAAATTACATTTTTTATTGGTTAAAATACTCCAGAAAAAAGTCCCCTGTTATTTTGAACATTGAATATATGTGTACACATAAGTATTATCTTTTTTTTTATCTCCACTACACCTTCCTCAGGAACACATGTGATGGAGGGGTCAGGGCGAATGGTGGTGACAGCTGTTGGTGTCAATTCCCAGACTGGGATTATCTTTACCCTACTGGGGGCAGGTGGAGAGGAAGAAGAAAAGAAAGAAAAGAAAGGTAAGGCCATGATGTCCTTAAATAAACTTTACTTTCTTCAGATTTTTCTTTAAATGCTAAGAGCTATTTTTTAAAGACTTTTTGTGTTAGTGATGATCAGCACCATACTCTTGAAAGCCAACTTCTGCCATTCCATTGTCTTTTTGTCTGCTAAAAGTCTGTGTAGCTCATCGTGTAATTTCATTGTTTTTAATTGTCTTTGTTACCAAAAGTACTTTAAACAAGTTCCAAACATACAAGTGTGGACTGATGTACAGTATATAAATTATTTGTAGGTATGTGCCATACAATATGACACAAAATGAATGTATTATGTATTGTAAATAGTACATGAAGTGATTATTGGTGGCACAGTAGTGAGCTGCAGTATCCAGGTTCTGTGGGTTCAGGTGTATCATTGTTCAACTTTCTTATTGTTCCAAATTCACCTCGTAGGAGAGGCGGTCGAAGACGGACATCAGAACACAGGTAGAGTATCACCTTTCTCTGACCCCTGGGAGTTGTACTTGATCCTTTAGACTTAAAAACCCTTTTCTGATTTTTAAGTACACCACAACGATTATTTACCACTGTCCTGAAGCCAAGCACGCAAATGCCAATTTTCTCCACTTAAAAAGAGACGTTTTATAAACACTAAACTGGACCTTTTGAAGTGTCGACAGATGACATGTTACATAACCCTTTTTGAAACTTTTTTTTCTTTTACTAAAACAAGCTTTGCTTTCATCAACTAACTAGCTCATATCCAGCAGCAGGCCTGTTTTAACAAGCTCTAAGACTCGTTTCATTGCTTTCTTTGAAAACGATGGCATAAGAGTGACAGCCCTGCAGGAGTACGACTCATGCACCAGAAGTGCAGCATAAAGTCCACAAAAATATATATTTTTAGAGTTTTGTTCTGTAGTCTACGGAAGAAGATTAGGGCCAATGAAAAAAAATTTAAAAAGGAATTCCGACTTTAATCTCAGAATTCTGACTTTTTTCTCAGAATTCTGACTTTTTTCTCAGAATTCTGAGATTTAAGTCAATATTCTGAGATTAAAGTCAGAAATCTTATTTTTTATTTTTTTCAGTGGCCCTAATCCTCTTTCGTAGTAGTCTGTATATTTTAGTCCTGATGTCAGTTCTTTTTTAAAATAATCAAATATCACTATTGGTTGCATGAACATATTGCGCATTTGAGCATTTTATTACGTTGTTGCTGTCTCAGACCAGTGATAATCCGATATTATCCAATTGGAAAACTAGCAAATACTACATCCTCTGGATTTTGCACTGTAATAAAATTCTTTCAGCACATTGTGTTTGCTCATGTCTTGCCCATGACATAAATGGGGTGCCCACACAGATAAGCAGATTAACATGAGATTTGTTTTACTGCCCTTTATTCAGTCATCCCCAAAACCAGATTCAGATCCCATGAAAAAATATGCAATTATCTGAAATTTATGGATAAAAGGGGGTGAAAACAAACAAACAAAAAACGGGTTAGGTTTAACCATCATCACCCCAGATTCTCAACTCATGGAGGGAAAAACCACCAGGTTGACATCGAGCAAACAGTCAACCACCTCCCAGCTCAACCAGCAGTGCACTGACGACCCAGCCCCTTTTATATTAATCAGGCACAAGTGATTGCAAGTCCTAATTGGGGTCTTGCATGAGACGCCTTTCGGCTGAAAAACAGCGGGTGGAAAGGCAAAATGACAAACCTGTCATTCACTAAAAAAAGTCTTTATAATAAAAAAAGATCATTTCTGATCACAAGTCCGTGATTTAAAGTTTATCCTTTCATCAAAACAAATCACTACGTTTTATTCGCAAGATAAAAACTACAGAAATTTTGCATATAAGCAAGTATTGCTTTAGTATTCAAAGCTTTCAAAGAAAATGTATATTAGAACATAATTTTAAAGGGGACATATCATGCAAAACCCAATTTTTTAGCAGTTAAAAGCATTTTAGTTCTGAAGTCTCTAGGAGTGCAGAGAATTTGAATTTAGTCGCTCCTGGTGCTTTGGCTCTAGAAAAAAATGTTTCGGTGTCGCTATATAGTCATATCTTTACTGTCAAATAAGAATGGACCTCTCTGGAGGCTCGAGGGGGTCAGGGTGCSAAGTGTCACACTTTAAAGAGACAGCACCAAAACGAGTTGATTTGAGTCATWCCTCAGAAAAGGGGTGAAAGAGGGCTTGTGGAGTACAATAAGGAGGAATTCAGACCAAAGTAATGCWGTTCCACTTTATATAGATCCCAACTGAATGATTYAAATGTCTCCTTTAACTTTACACATTTTTATGCAACAGCTATGATTTGTGACATCAATAGACATTACATGAATAACATGGTTCAAACAAATAGCCAAAACAAAAAATACAAAATCATCAAACATCATTTGTCAGAAGATAGAAACAAAATATTTACTTCTGTTTACCATGTGTACAGGATTTTACATGATATAAAAAAAGAGGTGTCCACAATTTTTGACAAGTAAATTTGTTGATTTAATATTCTATTTTTGTTTTATTTCATTTGTTTACATGTTTTAAATTTGTTACACTTGTTTATTTACCTAAGCATAGTTTGATTTTAGCTACATACGTACAGTATAAAAACTATTGACTGCATTTACAAATATTTAGCTTTTAATGTGCAGTAGTTCACACTGATCATTAAGTCTACATAATATGCTGAATATCTGTAATGTGCTATAACCATGTTATTTCTGTTCACTGTCTTGTGTGTGCACATGACTGGGCGTGTTTGTTTGGACGTGTGTGTGTGTGTTTGTTCATTTCTGATTGACTCTCATTGTTACTGGCTAGACTGCTCCCATCCCCCTATCCACCCCATTGCAACCATTGCCACGGATGGGGCTGCGGGCATTAATGCCCCTGGCAGTGCCAACTTTATTAATGGTAGGTTACCAAGATGTCCGACCTCTGAACACTTTCTGTTGTGACCTTTAACTCCATTCTCCAACTGCCTCTTACCACGGGCGCCTACCTTTCTGCTGACTTCTGCTCTCACTTGTTTTTGAACCTTTTCTGTATCCATGCTGTCACTGCATGCTTGATTTAGCTGTAGAAGATAGTTTTGTGTTTCTTGTTCTTGTCTTTAAACTTGTCTTGTGATGCTTTTATTTTCTGTGTATGGTACTGTCACTGGGAACATTTTTAATCAGCTTAACACGAAACACATCAACTCTTCTGTCATTATGTGCTTTTTGAAACCAGTGAAAGCATCTTAAATTGTTTAACTTTTGCATTTTACATTAAAACATCAAACATTATTGCTGTATTTGTAGTTAGAATATTTAAAGATTCCTAACTGCATATCTGGATGGTATATGGGCTGTGTCCAAAACGGCAGGACGGGTCCTCCGAAGGTCGAATTTGT